AAACTGTATATTAATTAATCAACTCTCTATTTCCCCCAGGCCCAGCAACTGGCCTTTTGTTTCTATGAATTTGACTATTCTAGATACTTCACATAAGTGGGAACTTAGGCGTTTGTCTTTTTGTGAGTGGCATATCTGAGTTAGCACATCTTCAGGGTTCATCCATGTTGTCACATATGATATATGTTATATGACTCATAAAAGCCAGAATTTCTTTTCTGTTGAAAAGCTGAATAATGTTCCATTTATAAAGTTCTGAATCTCCATGTGACTGAATTTATAACTTCATATTTGCAGTGTTTTTATACCTAGTTTAGGAAATTCTTCTGTATCCTGAGATCATAAAGATAGCCTTCTATATTTTTAAGAAATATTTTTTTCTTTAAGACAAGATTAAATTTGCAGGAAGGTTATCAGTACAATTCAGATAACATTTGCTTTTCCCAGAACCATTTGATAATAAGTTGCTGACCTCATGACCCATTGCTTCCAAATATTTTAGTAGCATTTCCTAAGGACATTCTTCTGTGTAATATCAAAATGACCATCAAAATTAGAAAACTAATACATTTCTATCATCACATCTTCAACTTTATTCAAGCTTTACTGGTTATCTCATCAAATTCTGTTTAACAACAGGATCTAGTTTGGAATTACAGGTTGCATTTGGTTCTAAACTCTCCTTAGTCTCCTTACGTCTAGACCACCACCTTTATTGAATTGAGATGTATTCCTTCCTCTTCTATTTTCTGGGAGGGGTTGTATAAAACCAGTGTTAATTCTTTCTAAAAATTTTGATAGAATTCTTCAGTAAAACAATCCGGGCCAAGTTTTGTTTTGTTTTGTTTTGTTTTTTCTTTTGGTGGGGGAGGTGAGGAATGGAGTTTTGCTCTTGTTGCCCAGGCTGGAGTGCAATGGCATGACCTTGGCTCATTGCAGCCTTCACCTCCTGGGTTCAAGGACTCTCCTGCCTCAGCCTCCTGAGTAGCTGGGATTACAGGCACCCACTACCATGCCCAGCTAATATTTTGTATTTTGAGTAGAGAAGGGTTTCACCATGTTCGCCAGAGTGGCCTTGAATTCCTGACCTCAGGTGATCCACCCGCCTCGGCCTCCCAAACTGCTGGAATTACAGGTGTGAGCGACCGCACTCACTGGCCTAGAGATGTTTATGGGATTTTAAATTACAATGCCAGTTTTCTTAACAGTTATAGGGCTATTTAAATTCACATTGGATGAGTTGTTGCAGTTTGTGTTTTTTCTGGAATTGGTGCATTTCATCTAAAAAATTCCATTTTAGCTAATCTATGTGCAGTTTTATTCTTCTTTACCTTGTATAGACATATTTTCAATGAAAAGGTAATCTAATCATATATTTATAAAAATAAATGCATATTTTATATTGTATCATGTAATTTTATATCTCTTTTATATACTTTGGATCAAGCTCTAGATGTAGCCAAGATCTCAGGGGCAGGCTATATTCAGCACTGATGGGATACGCAGTGACCTGTAAAGTCTGTGTCTCTACACACTTCAGAGTTTGCTCTGCATGAGTCTCTGACCATACAAATAGCTATACTGTGGCTATATTGTGCTGACACCTCATTCTATTTCAATTTTTTTCATGACATATTATTCAAAATAATGTGATACAGTGCAAATCAGATTTGCTATGGTCCCTGACCTCAGGTTGCTTAGAGTCTCTGTAGGAGTTGCAGAGAAGTAATTAGGAAATCAGTAATCAGTGTGGTCAGTGTTGTGATGAGGAGGCAACAGGTCCTGATGAGAACACAGAGAAGATGTATCTCTTTTATTCTCTTCATTTCTGGTACCTAGTACAGTACCTTGCACATAGTAGGTTCTCATTAAGTCTTTGTTGAAGGAATGAATAAACTCAGAACTGGGTGATCACAAGGTCACTTTTGGAGAGGACTTGTGTCTGAGCCAACTTAGTGATATCTATGGGCAGTAGATGAGTGGAGGGAATTCTCTCATGTGGACGCAAAAATATGCAGTGTTGTAGAAGGACAGAAAGCTTAGCAATCTAAATAGTTGTCTAAAGCTGTCTATTTGCAAGTGGGGAGTAGTTTCCAAAAGTGATTGCAGACTGAAGGCTAAGAAGAAATAACTGACCAAAGTATGTATTGGGCAATGTTAGCTAAGAACCAGAATTGATTTTTATGAATTAGCATTTTTGGTTCTGGCTGTCATGTTTACCATTACTAGGTTTAGTTTCTAACGTGTCTTAAAAATAATGCTCTCCAAATGAAGTATTTTTTTGTGAAGCATGGTACAGTTTTCTCTGGCTCTTACCTACTAGTCTTATTCGTACTATCTTTGCTTTAAAACAATACTTTTTTATGCTTTAAATATATCTGTGATAAATCATGAGTTTACCACTAATAATCGTGGGTCATATTGTTGTGTTTTCATATGCCAGGTACTGCATTGAGACCCTGCCATGAGTTATTTCATTATAATGTGGACAGTGGCCTGTCTGTAAGAAAACCAAACCTAGGGCTCCCATTTTACAGAAGTGGCAACTAAAGTTTGGGGAAGTTAAATTGTGTGTACCCAAGGTCACTTAGGTAAGCCTGGGACTCACATTTGAATCTAAGTCTGTCTGAGTTCATTTAACCACTGAGCTATGTGTGCTCTTTCCAATGTTTCATGTCTTTTTATTAAACAAAAAAGGCCCAGGATTTAGATTTACTTATGTATATATCCTTAGAAAGTTTATCATTTAAGTAGGGAAAGAGTTTGTAGTGAAGTAACATATTAAGACTCTCCTAAAAGCAAATTACAGAAACTCACTTTAGCCAGCATGGCTGGATGTAGATGCTCCAACAATAATTACTGTGCTCTTCCTCTCTGTGTCTCCTTTCTCACCTTCCTTTTTTTTTTTTTTTTTTT